TTCTTGTCTTTGTCTTTGCAGTCCAGTATCCGTGGCGATACTCAGAAACAAAGTTGAAAATGCACCACATTGAGCATAATCATACATGACAACAATGGCAAGCCCATTCTGTCACTCTTTCTTGCTTTCGCTCCGAATAGCGTATATGACAGGTACGTATTTATCTTGAACGCATACTTAGGCTCATGACCTAAATGCATGCGCGTCGTAGACTCGTGCGCGTGATCAGTCGTTGTAAATGAGCAAGCGTCGTTGAGTAAGCCTCGATTACATCCGTAGAGGGATCGGTCACCGGTCTATGCGCCCCAGACAAAAAGACTTAACTCTTCATCCCGACGTCACATTTCTCTTGTCGCTTGTTCTGGAAAAGATATCTGCTTCGTAGTCCGTATTCTTAGCAACTATATTGAAAGTATCATGTGATAAATCAACGTGGCCGTCAACACTGCAGGGCTGTCAGCAGCCATTCAAGGAGGTATACATAGCATGGATACTAGTAGGTCTAGGCTAAGATCGAAACGAGCGATATTAAAAAGAGTGTTATGAAAATGAGCGACCTGAAAAACGAGTGACTTGAAAAGCGAGCGGTAGGAAGAACGAGCGGTAGGAAAAACAGGCAAAATGACATACGACGCCAGATGATCAACTATTGGGATGCAGCAACACCTGGTCCAGCTTCTTCTCAACCTCAGCCCAAAGTATCCTATACCTCTGATCAACAGGGTCTTCAGGATATCCCACCAAATTTCCGTCGAGCCCATACAGCCAATTATCACCAATCGTTTCCAGCCTGGAGAAAGCAAGCGCAAGGAAAGCCGCAACGCTACCTGGATCCTTAATCGGCGACCTACAATAGCAGAAGTCGGTCAGAGAGCGGTGGGGAACTATTGGCCCTAGATCAGCGTAGCTCGATACATCCTCACAGGCATCAACGCGGAGCGTGAGCTCACGCAAGGAGGGGCAAGCAGTGAGGAGCGGAAGGAGGCCGGTCAACGTGACTTGGGGGCATGAGCGCGAGGTACGTTCGGGGAAGTTGAGTACCTCGAGACAAGGCCACGCTGTACCCATTTTGGAGAGGTCTGCGTTGGTCAGACGGACGGGGCAGTCCGCCTCGAGGTGGATTGCGGAGAGATTAGGGAATGAGAGCAATGGTGCAATGGTGGCGAAGTCGATCGCCTGGGTATTGAGGGGTAGGTCCCATGGATAAAAGGCGATCCAAAGTTTGAGATATGTTAAATTCGTGGACAGGGAAGCGTTCCTTCGAATTCCCTGGAAAAAGGAATATAAGTCCCATTTGGTCCCGGCTTCACCGCGAATTTCGAATGCGGTGAGGTGTTCGAAGGCATGAGGAAGCTTGAAGAGCTCCGCACACGGCTCAAGACTGGGCGTGTTGAGACGCATCTTTTTGAGGCTTGGGAAGAAGTGGTCGCAATGTTTGTGATGCCCGACAACGTAAGTGATGGTCTCAGTAAACAGGGACACTGACAACTCTTGAAGATGCGGCAAAACGGAGAAGTGTAGCAATGTAGAATGATCGATGTTAAGAGATAATGCTTCCAGTACCCTCAGTGAATCAAAACCTCGAAGGAGAGAAATGAGATCATGAGGAGCGAATGTGTTGAGTTTCCAATGGTCCTCCGTGCGATATTCGTCGATCTTGAACCTCTGGATTGGTGATGTGGCCTCTTCCAAGACACGTTTGATCGTTCGCCATGGACCATCAGGGATAATCTCTACGCCGTTGACTACTTTGATCTTTGACTTCTCAAATGCGACGAGGTCGATAGACGTTAACCGAGGGCCTATGATGAGACGTGGATAAACGGCGTGACCTTCGAAGTCGTTGACATAAAGCATCGCATGCTGTACGCGGGGAAGGATGGGTCCAACAACTTCTTGGCGCGAATAGAGAATGTGAAGGAACAACTTGTCTAGGGCGTACGAGCGAGCGTCTCCAAAACGGGGTCTACACACAACTCGAACTCGCGCAGCATTCTCCCGAATTCTAGTGTAATCCTTAGGTTGGAGGTTACGATCGAAGCGCTGAGTGCAGCAAGGGATGGGTCAGCGAATCAGAATTGAATCTAGGTAAGCCTAAGCAACGTACCAAGCCTTTAAAATTCCGCCAACCGACTGGCGTGTCATTCTTCTCTTCAATCGTACGAACTGCATCGTGAGGAAGGCAACGAACTACCGGGTCTAAACCTGGAATGACACGCCAAAGAGTATTAAGAGCCGGCTCCTTGAACGACTGACAGGTCAGGGCAACACTGGCAAGCGTGCTTGATCCTGGAAAGGGCGGCTTCTCCATTGTTCTTGAATGGGTGTCGATGACATTGCTGAAGATGGCGTCAAGGATCTCCGGGATCTGTAGGCACCTGTGCATGCCCCTCAGGATGCTCGTCTAGTAATGGGAGAGGTAACTTTGAAAGGACGATGCATTCGACAATCTTTTCTTTTCTTCAAAAACTGCAAGTGATGATCGCGACGGCATGCGTTGAATTGGACGATCACATGTCACATCCTATTGTTTCGACAAATTTATAAGCTTAAGCTTCTGTTCCGTTATATATAATTGTTGAAAAACATACAATTGCGCAAAAATCGCACCAACATAATTCCTTAGCTCTGGCTTTCGGGTGGATCTTGTCGGAGCAACTAAGTGTGTAGTATCCGAGTCGTACCAAGAACGTCGCATTTTAATAAGGTATTAATCTGAGCCTAGCTCCTCAACATGAACAACTTGACTCCAAGCCATTGAAGGGAATAAAGACTCGGAGCCGGGGGTTGTTTCGAAATTACCCTGCAGGCAGATATAGGTCATTGTATCTCCGGAGGATTGTTCAAAGACAGAAGAGATCATCAAAAAGCGGAAGGATCTTCAATTTTGTTGCCGGGCTTCGCAACCAAACTCGGCTCTCTTTGACCATGTCTGTGATCCGGGGTTGACTTCACAACTCACCTTCCAAATCCGTTATATTAGATCGTTGTCGAGAGTGCAACTATTACTGATCATAAAAGATGTACTGTCGCATTTCATGATAACAACGACACGAATTTATATTGCAAACAAACCATCCGTTGTTATCAATTTGGAAGGCTTGTTCATTGTTCCCATTCTGAAGGTCTCCTCCCACCCAGTTGTTCTATCAAAGATGTAGCGTTGAATAGCTAGATTCCTGTGGTAGGTAATCGTCAGGTTTAGAAAATTAAAAGAATAGATAGGTGAGTATTGATACACTGAGCAATGATAGCAAAACTGATGTTTAGAATGAAACAAGCCAGAAAGGTATAGATATCGTCATCAAGAGATATTCAAGACTTGGGTATAGCTGGGATACGACGCGCCTTGCGGATGAGTTGGGTCGCCCAGTGTCCGATAAATTTTGTGACTTTGGTCCGCTGGTCAACTTCAATAATCGGTGAACGCAGCTTCCAGTCACTGAGTCCCTCAATTATAATTTTTAATCGAGAGTTGGCCTCGCTCATCTGAGGCCGCTTCTTGGGATCGGAATTTGTCATGTCGTCAATAAGCTCACGCATGAAATCGAAACCTTTCTTGGCTTTCGCATATTTACACCCCTAACACATCATCAATATATTATCGATCGTCAAGAAGTTATACGCACATCCAGGAAATGTTGCCTGATACAGTTTCCTAGACAATACACGTCAACTGGAAATGGATCGCACGGAGGAGCATCAGGTAGAAGATGTTCAGGGACGATCTTGTCCCTGCCCCACGGTGGTTCTTCCAAGCGTGAGGCTCCAGGGGGGTACTCTTTGGACAAATCAAAGTCTATTATATAGTACTTGACCGGCTTGATGGTTCGAGAGGCGACAATTGAAGGTCTTCCAGTAAAATCACGTTTTGTAAAAGTTCGAAAGGGATGTGGAGGAGAATCAAACAAATGCTGAGAATCTGCCATGATGTTATTGTACTTGCAATCTCTGAGGATATTGATCGAAGTCAGAATGCTTCTGTGCATAAAATTCAAGTTCGTGCTCATGTGCGATGTTGTGTTCGTGCATAAATTCCAAACCCTACAGCAAAACTGAGCTCGTGAGTTCTCAAAAAAATTTGTGATACGAGACCTACCTCAAATATTTGACGGAAGAACTCCACGACTTCACCAATAGTTTCAAAAGGTGCTCGTTCTATCCCTACCAAGAGAGGCAAGACTACAAACGCTTTTTCTGAGTCTTCTGGGGGATCGATGACCTCTAGGTAAGGTATACAATAATTCCTTGGAGATGCAAAACGTTCGGAAGACAACAGTTTGCCAACAGGGATTTCATCCGGGGAGCGTACCGGATGGATCGCCTTCAGCATAACTAGAGTTCCATCAGCTCGGCTTGCATCCATGAGAGAACCCTAATAGAAAACGAAAACCCCTTGAGAGCGGATCAAGGGCAGTTACGACGGGATACACACTGTAGCGACTACTCCATCTTCACATTCAGTCCACCGTTTGGAGAGTGTTCAACCAGGAAGGCCTCCAGTCTGGCTGGTACCATGACCTTTGAGATATTGACAATGCTTGCGCCAGAACAGTTCGGCAGGTATGAGTTGCCCATCCTTTGCGGCAACTCCAGGGGGTGCGACAAATGTCTGGGGATCGAACGCAATACTCATGCTCAAGTTTAGGGAACGACGCGAGAAGGATAAACCTATTGTCAACAAGTTCTGGACTCTTGTGGGACATTGTTCATCTTCCGAAAGTGATGAATGTGTCAAACACGCTGTGACCGCACATAAGCGCGTACAGTCACTTCCCACGCGACAATCAGTAAAGAACAAAAAGGTCGCGAGATTTCCGATACGGCTTCTGGTTTTAGAAAAGCTTTGTTCCAATTCTGATATTTGGTTCATTAGATCCATGGACCCTGCAGGCAGATGTAGGTCATTGTAGGTCAATGTATGTGGGTCATTGGGAAGGTCTTTGGGCGGAGGCAAGCAGTACATATATTTCAGAAGCCATTTTTGGACATTATATTAAGGCACTATAGTGTAGTGGTTATCACTCGGGATTTTGACTTGATGGAATCTTCCCGAAACCCAGGTTCGAACCCTGGTAGCGCCTTTGTACCTGTACAAGTTCCATAACTGTTTTATTTACCTATTGCGCTCGATATCTCTCCTGGATGATTTGTATGGTACTTCCCTCCTCGACGGTGCCAATGCCGTGTACTGAGCAAGTCTTGAGTCTGTTGTGATCATTGCCTTCCTTATAATGCACTTCCCTCACATCTGTTCATCTCCTAGTGTAAGTTCCCCCTTAAGCCTTACATATATATCTTATGCTGTTGTCGATACGTTCTGCTCTCATGAGTCTGGGCGTTACCCTTACCTTGGCTTTTAGAGGCTTTCTGTCGGTCTTTACAGGAAGATGTACCGATCCCCGGCTCGTCTCCTAGCTCCGCATTCCTACTCCTAACAATGTCTTCCTCTCTGATCTAATCGATCCAAAGCTCGTCAGCAGTCCTCTCTTCGTGCCTCATGATTCATCTGCACGTCAATGATCCAGGGTTCTATCTGCACGACGACTTCGATGAACTGCGAGTTGAGGGCGTTATAATGGGATAAATGTGGAGAGGGGTGGAACTCATGCGTTGATGAATACCGGTCTCACATAGGAAGTGTTGTAGAGAGTTCGATCTTACTTTAGCCGACTTCCAAGGCGGATCATGTATTCAAAGTACACTTAGAGTTAACGTCAACCCTTGTAATGATTAGCGATTTTCGATTTACCTTCGTTTTATGGATCGGCTTCTGTCAAATTTGCGTCAGATGAGAGACCGTCAATCAGGTTAAAAAGAAGGCAGAGTATCATAATGCGTGTTGATATTGTATATAAGGAGATGCATGCGTGGGGTATATGACCAAGACAAATGAAGCGTTCTGCAGATGATGGTACATAATGTCGGAAAGGGTGGCGGAAGTATTAGTACAAGCGTCAATGACGTGGACATAAAGATAATAAAGAATAAAATAAAAAGACACTCTACCCATGAAGTCTGTGTGCAATACTCAAGAGTCTGTACGTCCTTAGCCATTAAAGATCGTTCTTCATCGCAACCTCAGCCTGACTTGCAAACACGATCCCTTGTTGTTTCAAGGCGTCCTGCACAATCTTCATACCCTCTAGGACTCTCTCCTCTTCAAGTCTTTTTCCAACGATCTGGACACCGAGCGGCAACCCATGCATGCCATCAGCATCGTATGCGGAATATGCTACACTTGCCACAAGTGAAGGCGCCTTGAAGTCGACAGGAAGACAATCTAGGTCTTTGTCGACGAAAGTCACGGGCAGGACTCCAGCGGTATAGTCCAACTGTGGGGTGGAGAAGGCCGGGCGGCCGAGCAAAAGGAGATCATTGTAAGCGGAATCGCATAATGGGCAGAGGAAGAAATTGTATAGGCCACGGATGAAGTAATCGGGAAGCAGAAAGGGCGGCCGTCAGCGGCTATATTGTGATGTGCGGATGAAATAACTTACGAGACTGAAGATAGTTGTAAACCCAGCAGTCATCAAATTTACCTTCTCCGATTCTCCATGTTTAAACGCAGGGAATGGATGGGGCACCGTGATGATGAAGTCGAGACCCTTCTCCCTCCAGCTGTCGTGCCATTCCGCGCGGTACGACTCGCGTTGGGCGGTGAGGGCACGAAGTTCAGTTACAGACTTAGTATGCATGATGCGAAGAAGTGATGCCGAAGCCGGGTCCGACTTCTGGGTGAAGTATGCGAGGAACTGTTTGAAGCATTTGGGAAGAGCAAGGAGGCCAAGTACGGAAGAGGCAACTTTATTCAGACCCTCACCAGGCGAGAGGAGGGAACGGAGCTGTTCGCCTAGGCAAGACGTTATAAAGGTCTTTGCTTATACAGAATATGCTAACATACCTCCATCGCTGAAGAGCAGTTGGTAAGCAATGTTGAGACCACGTTCGAGATCCGGAGGAATACTGGAAACACGAATGTCATTAGCGGTTCACCCGCAATCATGATGGAGGACGAACAATTCAACGACTTCGTGTCCTTGCTTCCGAAGAGCCGTAGCAACCATCGACAGACCGCGTTTGCACGCAGGGGTAATCGGAACCGGGCCTAGAAAACATTCTCAGAGAAGTCAGCGAAGAGGAAAAGCGGAGCTGCTCGCCTCCTTCCAACATGATCCCCCACTTTAATTTTCTTCCGTCCTCTCGAAGATCCACATTTCTCCAAGGTATCGGATGGCACTACGTAACGTCAATCATCCAATATGATTAGGACTTTAGCAGCACCCACTGTATGGTCATACTCCCAAGGTTTGGCCGTGATTACCCGCTTCCAGAACTCATCCAAATCCTCTAAACTGCCTGCCATTGGTGAAGACACTAGCTGTAGACCTTCTAAACCCTCCATGGATGACTGATTACCCCATGTGGGGAACCTGCCCGCGCTGCCCTTGAGACTCCAGATACCGCAGAAGTGAGCCGGGAGTCTAACGCTTCCCGCGACATCAGTACCTATCTCGATTTTGCTACCCCCGCATGCGATGAGAGCCGCACCACCTCCGGTCGACGCCCCTGTCGTGTGAGTAGACTTATATGGATTCGAGGTACGTCCATAGACTTCTGAGCCGGTTTCAAGGCCAAGCAGGCCCGTAGGAACAGTCGTTTTCACATGGACGAGGGCACCGGCATCTTGGAGAAGTCGGACAACCGCAGATGATGATGCCATAGGGTGGTTGGTATTTCGCGAGTATCCAATGGTGGTATCGTGCCCGGCAATGTCGATCGTGTCTAATCATCTTTAGTAGCTTCGAATTGCTGATAAGGTAACAGGCTTACCTTTGATACTGACCGGAACTCCAAGTAGCGAGCGGTCACGGGTAGAGTCAAAAGCATCCAGGTCGGTGTTATGAGGCCAGTTTGCGACAGCAGGTATGCGCAGGGCTTCGTCAAACATCAGGTCAGTCACACAATTGGTCGCAGCGTGTGCAGCGACGGTCTTCTTCGCGTAAGCGACCATGATGTCCGCCGGAGCAATTTCGCCGGCTTTGCATTCCGAGACAAGTTGAGAGAGAGAAAGAGCGTGTATTTTCTGTTCAGTCAGGGAGAGTGGTGTGGAATAGATAGGAGGAAGAGCATCCAAGGAAGCCTGACGCTCGGCTTGTTTGCGCGCACTGAACACGATGAGAAGACTGAAGTGGGATTTTGGTCAGTAACGACAACGCACCATGCATCCTTATGAGTAGTGGAGAAAAAGGAGAACATGGGGGCAAGTGGATGCGGCGATAGAGATCGACGTGGCTTTTATACGAAAAATGGAATCATACCCGAGGAGTTAGCGGAACGACAAGGAACAGTGTAATGATTGCGATTGAGGCGGAAGAGCTCATGTTGTGACGTTGTTCAAGTTAATGTGGCGAGAACCGTCTTTAACAAAATATCCCCGAGCGAGAACGGCCAGAGCCAGAAGCGTTCTCCCCCGCAATTACGCGCAAGTTCCTTTCGGAGTTCTCCGGCACTAGTTCCCCGGCACCCTTGGCAGCTGTCCTGATTCATTATTACATACCATTCTGACGCTTTCAGACTTCTGGCTGCACAGAGCAGCCGAGTCGTATCCCGGATTTGATGCGGGGAATCGAATTTTGAGTGATAAAGAAAGCAGCAACGAGTGCGAGACATGTCAAAGTGCGATAGATTTTCAGCAAAAACGAAGTTCGAGGTACGTCCAGATCTGCGGAGAAAACGCGCGCCATCGTCTACTGGTGGGTCATATGAAGCATTGTCTGTTACGATTAAGCATTGGTACGTCTTGCGCGCCGAGCTTTGATCGTCCAAGCCTGTGTCGGCACGGACCGGTCAGAGGAGTAAGGAGCGACGACGGGGGTATGACTTGAGTGGTTGAAGTTCGTACTGAATCCGGCAGCGGTTCGTACTCCTCACTATTGGCGGAATCTCATGACCGACGCCCTCTAAAGAGGTAGAAGTTTCATAGATGGCAGGTATATGTATACAAGATGAAGCTACTAGCAAGAAGCCATACTTGTTAGTGTCAATAGGCATTGCATCGAGGTGAAACGCCCTACCATGAACGGTATACTGCCCACGAATCTTAAAACCTTCGCCCTCACGGCGCCTTCTTCGTAAGCTGCTCCTTCACTGCGTAAGCTAGTGTTTTGGCGTCCACCGGGATGTTTCCTAGAAATACAAACGTTAGTTGGATGCTGTCCCAAATACCAATTCATTTCGGCCAGCGCCCCTTATCGCACCGAGTGTACGAGACTCGAAGCTAGGGCCTTGAACCTACTAAACACCTACTCCCGTTAAACTGGTCGCCAAATTTTATGCTCTGATCATGTTTAGCAAAAGGTTAGCAGAATGTTAGTACTGCTAACGCTAATTGACAGAGAAGAAGAAACACGATACGCACGTCATGATAGATTCCCTTCGGATAGGTGACGAGCCGGTCGTTCCACACGGCGTAGTGCTAGATAGATGTGCGCAATCGAAATCAATCATCCGTGATATGCAGGGTAATGGTACTCTTGTCAGTCTAAAATTTTCAGTAAACGATGCCGGAATGTACGGACCCGATGCTCCATGTTCCGCGCAAGTATCTCATAATCAAATAAATATCCTACAGAGAGATATACGGGCAAGAAAATCAGCTCAGCAGCCCGTCAGGTGTGGAGTCAGCTGAGGGCTATCGCAGTGTAATCGCCCCTAAGCTGTTGGACCCACCTTCTGGGTCAAAGATCTCAAAGACGGCTGAACGGTACGAGGGTGACATCCATAATTGATGCTAGCAGTCCAGTCCACGTCAGCACAAGCAGGGGAATCGCGCACTTGGCAACACTCACAGTCAGGCCATTACCATGAACACCGATGATAATCTGCACACCGGGTCAACGAAGCGCGTGCCAGAACCCAATTTACGACCGGACAGAGTAAGCAAGATAAGAAAGAAGGAGAGCACCTCTCGATCAGTTCAAAGCCAAAAGCAAAAGCAGAAAAGCAAATCACGAAAACTGACCGTACTTCTCGCTGCAAGCTCAACCTGTTCCCTCAAGCTCATTTCCTCCATCCGTGCCTC